ACCTAATTGAGGCAATCATGTCCTTCCATAAATATATTTCAAAATCTTACCTGTCTTGTGACTGACACCTGTCAGCCCCAACAAATCGATAACATATTTTGTATCTCTCTCAATGGCAAACCATCCCGTGTGTCCCCGACACAGTTACCAGGTACCCTTCGATATGTAATCCTATGCACGGGAATCCCCTATTGTGGATCCAAGGTAAAAAGGGAAAAGGGTTTCTTCTCGCTGCACGCGCTACGGGATAAGGTGCATTGTGCGGCTGGACTGAGAAGCGGTCTGCACAGTATACCCAGTTCAAGGCACGTTTACGAAAGGTCGTATTATCCTGCAAAATAAAGAAGTTCCTACTCTTCTCGGATTGCTTTCACGTCGACAATTACTTCGCTGATCATGAGCCTGGTCCCACAAAAAGAACGTATAAAAAACCGTGACTACCCTCGTTGAAATTTAGTGCCAGTCGTAATATGTAAAATATCATTAATTCATTTGCACTTCGTCCAGTGGTGTGCCTGTGCGCATTTGAGCACGCTGTGAGCCTGAGCCGACCTAGAGAGCAAGAAGTCGACTACGAGGTGATGGCTAGATACTTCGTCAAGATGGCTTGCTGAGACGACCGCAGTGTTAACAGGACTCCAAGTCAAGCTTTCTCTGTTCCCTAAATAAAAGATCTGAGCACGAGAGCAGCCTTGCCATCCGGTAGAGCGTACACAAGAATTTTGTCCCGAATTTAGTCAATGAACTGTTTCCACAGGCCAGTTTGGGAGTGCCCCGCCGTGACGCCTGACGTTTAAATGCAGCAGAATGAGAAAGATGAGAGTAGTGAGACTATATCATTGTTGATGACATGAGGTGATTACCACACTACCAGACATCTAATCAGTGACAAGTAGCTAACACAAAGACAATTTGAGCTTTTTTAACATTACGATCTGGACGTTATATGCTCGGCCACTACCTCTCATCACCGAATTAATTGTAAAGACATAAAATTAGTGAAGATAGCTGACAAGCACAGAGTCGAGAGAGAATTTGGATGACTGATCTGATGGATCGGATATCTTTGTTTATCTATCTATATCATTTGCGCTATCATTTTCAGAGCAGTCTTTCTCCTCAACTACGATCAACCTCTTGCTTTTGGATGCAATCACAATTTAATATATTGCTTGCTTGGAAGTGATGCACATGCATATAAACTTACTTTATCAAAGTTTCTTGAAGCAAGTGGTCGATGTCAATTTGACACAAGTCCACATGTACTCCACGCTTATCGATTCTATCTGAAGGTTTATAAGTGAGGATAGCAACGGTGGGTCAGAAAACATTAAGACTATTTCGATAGGTTGCTTACGTAAGAACTGCGCCTCGTAGAAAAAAGTACATTGTTCCAGGCGTGTAGTCTAATTCTTAACGCTTCAGCAAACAAAGAGCGTACTGTAGAGTACGACTTTATACATTACAATGCATAATACGTTTTTATTGGCACTGCGTATCGCAGCATTACTGTGTACATCTGTGAATCGCAAACACATGCAAGGCACATTTCGCATGCATTAATCATTGTATAAAATTTATGGGGTTGCCAATACTCAGTAGAACAGTGTAACGGGGCACGTGAGCAACGCGCTAACAACCAGTGTGGGGCTAATATCAGGCGAATGTTTCGTGAGTGCTGCCTCGCTACCTCTGAAAAGTCGGCAGAGAAAGAAAGAACACAAAGGAGCTGAACACATGCGGGTAAAGTTAAACAAAATAAAATAGAATGGATTCTTAATGATTAACCTATGGTTTAGCCCTAACTTTACTTTATTCATCCAGACAAATGTATGCTTAAGTATTGCTCACCATTCATCGCTCAAGTCGATCCTTAATTGGATCGCTACAGCTGAATATCATGATGACCCATAACAGCCAATCGGTGGGTGTTTTTGAATACCACCCACCGTAATATTCACGAACATGATCAACCTTCACGACAATATCATAATAAACAATTAGCAAGGTTAATTACTTGTAGCAGGCTCACCATGATACATCATCATCCCTACACGATAGTCACTTAGTTACTATTATGTTAATGTGATTACCGTTAAAGCACATCAGGGACAGGAAGCAATTACTTAGGTCCAATTTTATCAATACTTAATTTCTTACGTGGTGAGCAAATATTTGTGATGCACAGCAAAATCTGCTAAGAAGGTATCTGCAGGTTCTAAAGCAGCTGCTCTTGATTATTTCCAGCCTCTTGCGACAGATTATGCTTTTTCTGCTTCTGCTGCAGCTCTTCCTGCAGCACCAGTTGCTGCAAAGGCACGTGGTGAGTCATCACGTGCTTATCATGGTGGCTCCTAAGTCAAGCTTATTTATTCGGGGGAGATGGACGGTGGCTTCGACTTGAAAAATACACTTGATTGCAATAGTCTGAAGGGGATGTTCAATACGAGCCTATGAAAGGAATCACGCGGGTATTGATAATTATGGACACTACAATAGTATGTTGATATTGGATGATAGGCATTCTGACTCACCCCCCCCCTGCGTCTGCTACCGCGCATTCTCCAACTAGTGAATACGGAGATGATTTGCACCGTAAAATAAGTGGTATCATGACTTCCGTTGGTACCGTGCAGGAGGATCTAAACGACAATGTGCTGTGTCTAGCCCCCTGAACAGAAGCCTTGGGTACTACCAGAAAGGCTTGTGAATGACTTTTTAGGCAAGATAAGTAAACATCATCGAATCTTATTCTTCAAAGCAAAATTGTTGCACGGCCTCTACATCAGCTCGAAACATTTGCACTAAATAAGACATTTGTCTTGATGCTTTTCTTTAGCATCGTTGGTACAGCGACAACAACATGTAGGACAAAAGCTCGTTGCTGCAGTTGTGGAACTCCTACATATTCAATGTGCAACACATTGAGCATAATGCCTGGCTTCTAAAATTTGACGCAGCACGTGTCATTTTTAAAAAAAAAACAATCTTTGTGCAAAGGTCATGTTTCACCATCTGTCCCGTAAAACAGTCATTCCATGACTCACGTGGGGTAATATATGTCCCTGTTGTTTCGACACCACTCAACGCATCCGAATGAAAATGTATCTTCTTTCTTCACTTTGATAGAGGACGCACATCTCTTCTGAGATGCAAGATGCGATCGCTAACCTGCAATCGCTCTACCAGCGCCGTGGGTGCATGTTGTCTGACATTCATTATGAGCCGTCGGATGTGTCTTGCTGTAAGAGTTGAAGAGACCTATAACGTCATACATAAGCTATACGCAAAGGCTACCAGCTGTAGTGAGACGGCTGATAGCGACCAAGATAACTGGTTCGCTACTTCTATATGTCGCGGTGGTTTATGATTCGCTCCTCTAGAAAGCGTTGACTACCGTGCGAGACACCAATGGCTGTGGTCGGGGCAAATATATTAACTCCGAATATTTGTTGGATATGCAGGCGGAGTTTAATCGTTTCAAGCAAGGCTAAAGCGATCTGTGCGATTGCACCGAAAAATAGAAATAAGACTATTTAATCTACAATTGGAGGGGTGGGTGCAATGCATCCGCCGTTATCGATCCGACCAGTTGGAGCTCGCGTTCTTCCATTTGAAGAACGAGCAGAGGCGTCAAGCCTTTTGCTACGACGTGGGTGATATTTGTCGCCAATATGTGGCGATACAAAACCATATTGAAATATCGGCTCGGGACCGAAGAAGGCTCTTGGATGTTCTTGAGCGTTGCGTTTGTATTTGTACGAAGAAAAGGAATCGGGCTGATAGCATGGGCGAAGACTACTGACGCACAACATAGAACGTGTACGCGTCCTGCGAGACAATCGGACTGTGTATTCATTGCACCTGTAATGTATTGCATGAAACGGGTCACTATACTATAAAAGTAGTAAACTACTACCCACATAATTGACTACATGCTTAGGTAAAAATACCGTAGACAGAAGAATTAAATCTCCGACGTTGAATAGAAGAATGTTTGCTCTTCCAGGTTTCGCAGTGTTCCATTTTTCTCGGTCAAACTCGTAAGCGGTGTATTTTTTCACGAAACGGTCTGCTTCTTCTCGTGCCGGCAGTAAATCGTCCGCTGACGCTACGATTTTGTTGCAGTATGCATTTCAATGCACCTCTAACAGGTCATCTCCTTCTTCAGCAAGGGTGTTCTCATCCTCACTGTTGAAGTCGTTGGCGATAATAAAAATACGAGCACCGTCATCTTTTTTACTTCTCCGATGTAGATTTAATCGACATCGGCAAGATTTTTTTCTCGATTCGTCGAGTGCCTCGACACGTGATGAGCAAGAGCCAGAACATTTTTTTGCTCTATCGATTCCCTTCCATCTTAAGCAATATTCACACTTTACATAGGAAGGTATTTTAGATGGCTTAAAACGTTCACGAAAAAATGGTGTATGCATGCACGGGTTTGTTTATGGCAAAATCGACCATCGGCTAAAATTTTATCTACTTCATAAGGAATTGGACGTATCCCCGAAGTTTCACTCTAAATGATGCGGCTGACGCGTTCTGTTTAACTTTTATCTCGGGATGGTCGGAAGTAGAAATGCCAGACGTGTTCCGAGGTATTGGAATTTGGATTGCCAAAATGTCGCCGTATAACGAGGATCTGTATCAAGAATATTTTATGGATTTAATCTTGGAGTCTAAATACCGTTTCAATGAAGACACGGGCACAATATTGTAACGAGATTGATTCATACACTGAAGAAAATGTATCACCCTGATGGATCGGTCTACAAATACAAGAATACTACTTTTATGGGGAGTTTCTTCAGGGAAATCGCAGGAGAAGTACATTAGGAGAGACGCCAGCACTCTGCTAAAATTGGAAGAAGGTGTAGTTGTGCAGGATGAAGGACTAAAATTTTATTATTTGGCAACCCTAGCAAGCAAATATATCTTTGCACACAAATTGATACAGGAGGGGCCAGTAAAAGGTGCGACTTACCGTTTGAAAAGGCTGTCACGCCCACGATTCCCACTAGAAGGTGCATCATGGCGCTCATGCAAGATGCGCAGGCGCAAATCATTATAAGAGGGGAAGACGAAACGAGCTGTGTCGCCGGAAACGGCTATAATCCAGCAACTCAGTGCTAGTTGAGTATCGATACGCGGAAGGTTGATACAATAACAGTAATCCACAAAAGGTGTGCAAGATGGAGTCAAAAGGTGATTATTTAGTCGCAGAAGGGCATTATCTTCTGAGTAGGCCTACATCCTATCTAATTTAATGGAATGATGAAGACGGATTAAAATGGTTTGTGCTGCAACAGTGGCATCAACCCCACTCTTGGACAGCGCACCAAAGTCGAAATTGGGTAGTAGAGACAACCTCTCAGCGAAGACATTGTATTGTCCAAATTGCACTTCACGGAGAAACTTTACTATGTGAAGAATGAAATCCACCTCATCATCCTTTGCGATAGGTTTGTCCCTTTTACGGCCGTGTGTAATGACTCATGGTCCTTATAGACTGCAAACGTCATATCTCCTAAGAGATAGACGCAATACTTTGCCGGCGCATACTTAATGGCAAGGGGGTTCTTGTCATGCACTAAAAATTACGCACAGCTGCTGAAGTGACTGACAGCAGATGCCGTGCTCTGCGCGTTCTGCATCTTCCTGTATTTACGCGCAGCTTATTGCGAAATATCTTGTACCGCAGACCACGTGGAATGGTCTGTCCTGATCTGCAATCGCTAATATTGTCGATTGCACCAAGCGCTTCTCGATACCTTTAAAGAAACGCTGACAAGCAGTATCGCATGACCAATTCTCATTCTTTTCAGAGGACGAGCGAGATGAACGGTCGTCTTGGCGTATTTGCGCGAGCACTTGTGTAAGTACGCCGCTAGACCGAGAAATTTCCAAAGTACCTTAACGTTGACTTGCACAGGTCAGTCGATAATCGCCTTGATCTTTTCTGGATTAGGGCGTACACCGTTTTCACCCACGATGCAGCTAAGTAGTGGTAGTTGCTAGAAATATATATACACTCCTTGAGGTTGGCTATAGCTTAAGCTTGCCCATGGGTGCAAGCAACTGACGAAATTTTGATCCAAAAATCTAAACGTCCGTCTTTCCACTTATAACTCGGCTATGGACAAAGACATAGTCAAAGCAACTCGGTGTAGAAACTCACACTGATCGCAACAGGTTGCTTACAAATATTTTGAACGTTGCAGGGGTGATACTTGGCCCCTTTGTCATCACTAACCACTCCTACATCACACCGCTGGGGGTTCTCACTTTTGTGTACATGACTTCCCGTTCACGCATGAGGATAAAATAGAACCCATCCATTGGGTCCATGGACGAGACGACAATACATTTTGACATCCCATCTATGATTGAGTCCTTTCTCGGTATCGGCTTCTGAGCCAGTACCGTTACATCATTCAGCTTTTTAATTGCGTGCACTATCATCCATCCCACTGAGACGTTTAGTGCGCCGAAGGTGAAAGAGCTGTGATGAGAAGTTGGTTTTCTCGCATGGCCCGATGCAAATCGAATGGCGATTAACTTGTCAATCTTTAGTACTTGCTCATGAGGCAGTGACCACTGCTTCATTACACAGCACTTCTAGCCCGACTTGAGCTCGATCACGTGTCGGTTGCCTTTGTCCTAAGGCAACACTCATGGCATGGATGTTGGGATCACGTATCTAGTTTCGATCTACCTTGTATAAAGATAAGCAAAAAGCAAAACCAATATTAAGACGTGTATCGCTCAGTCCAATTCTTCTCATCAAGGACAATTTCTTCCATCAATGATCTGATGAGAAGCCGTTCTTTCTCAGTAAACATGTGGTTCGACCGAAATGTCGACGGACTCGTCCTCTGAGACGAGTACGCAGATCTGCTTGACTTCGCCACTACGCAGATCATGTAGGAACCGTTTTAGTCTTAGCGTTGGCAATTTTTTGATCTCCAAATTCAACTAAAAAGAATCAAACAGATAACGTTGAAGCGCCTACCCTTGACCCGTCATAAATAAAGACATTCAACGTATTTGTTTCTTTCTGGGAACCCTTTTTCACAGGCTGCTGGGTACTTTTTCATCAGGTTGATGAGGTCTCGTTACCATGTCAACAACTGCTTTAGGAGTTTCTTCCTCCAGAACGTGGGGACTTATTACCTCGACGTCTCCTTGGTGCGGTTGCGCTACCACAGTTATCTGCTCCACGATCAACTCTTTAGTCAATATAGGAATATCTTGTTTCCCCGTGTGGGCAAATGGTTCGTTCTTTATCGATTTTGCCCACTAAGATTGCAACTCGTTTTGATTCTCTCG